ATTTGTTGAAAGGCTAAATTAAAGGACAAACAAGGGTCAGGAAGTAGTCCTGTAGACCAAGAAGAGGAAGAAGAGTGGTTTTGTTGGAGACAGTGTAGATAGAGCCGAGTATTTATATGCAAACAACAAACATGCATAGTAAATTATCACAAAAGAACCGAGATTTTGTTTAATTATTTAATTGATTAATTAGATTGTCTATAATTGTTTGGTTGATTATCTTTTCAGCAAGTCTAGTAACCTGCTCCTCTAGTGAAGGAAAGACCTTCAGATAATAGGGCAAAATAAAAATCAGTTATAAAATTTGTATTTGAAATGATAGGCATCTGTGAAAACATGGTTGAAGAAGAAGGCTCAGATTATGGATGAAAAAGTTACATTTAAAAAAGTGTATGGTGTAGAGAGGTGGCTCAGTAGTTAAGAGCACTTGCTGCTCTTGCAGAGGACCTGGCTTCAGTTCCCAGCTCCCACATGGTGGCTCACAACCATCTATAACTCTAATTCTGGGAAATCTGACACACTCCCTGGTCTCTGTGGATACCAGGCATGTACATGTACATATATACATGCAGGCAAACACTCATATGCACAAAATGAAACTAAATCAATCTTTAAAAAACAAGTGTTAAGCAGAACCTGACAACCCCAAGTTTGGGTGTCAGAAAGAAACATTTCTATTCTGTTGCAAGCTCTCTGAAGTTTTATAAAGCCAGAGTTTCACACATCCTTCAAACCTAAGGTTCTTGCCTAAATCCAGGCCATGAGTTTTTCAAGAGCATATAACAGAAAAAAGAGAAAACTCATAGACTCCAAAACTAGAAATGGAAATAGCAAAATTAAAACTCATGAGTGTTTAAATCAACCTCTAATAAACTGTTTGAAACAAATACTTCATTAATTCAATAGCATACAACAAAGATAACATGGCTGAAACTAACAAGGCCCCAATTCCATGTGTCTACACTGTGATATGAGGTCAACAAATTAAGGGGAATTCAACTCAATTCTTCTTTGTATGTTACATTTAATTAGTGATGTAAGTGCATTTTAATACATAGAATAAGTGGTAAAGAGGCCTCTAAAAATGAGAGACCACAGATCCTATGAGCCATCAAAACTAGTTAGCTCCACAGTACATTATGGTTCCCATCATGCTGATTTTTATCTCTCCATCTTACATGGAAAATTCGAATGGCAGGAAATGTAGGAAACATCTCCACTTGTGTCAGGTTTTAAGTGTCTAAGAATAAATCCTAATTGAGAGCTGAACATGAAACCCTGCATCTTTCAGGGACTGTAGTCTTTCCAAGTTTATGTTGTGTTGATCAAGGAAAATTTAATAAATATGTTTCAACTTTAAAACCAATGATATTGCTGGGAAATAGTCACATGGTAGACATTTCTCTGTACCTCGCTCTATGGGTACAAGATGAACTGGTTTTGGTTCATGTGTTTTTGTTTTCGCCCCACTGACAAGGAGTAAGTGTGGATGCAACAGGTATCACATACCAAGGGTGAACCTGGTCACTATCAGCATGATCCAGATGATCAGTCATTAAGAATAGTAGCTAGTTCTTTGATCTTGCAACATTGCACCCATAAATTGGTATTTCTATGCCATTTTTGAAAAGCCTCTTCTTTTTTTTATTACTTACACTCATGATATTAATCACATTTGTGGTATTCATAGATTACATTTGCAGTATTCATTCAATTATATATATATATAAATTTTAAATGTCGAATGTCATTTCTTGAAGGCAGTAGGAGGTTAAATACAGGCTTACAGCACAATGGGAGGACCCCAGAGGGCAGAAGTTCGCTACTGATATTGTACAATCTTGCATCTAAGCTGTTAACACCCATTATTCAGGATACACAGACAAGGAACTTCCCTTAAGCATTCAGGAGGGTGGAATCTGGCAGAGAATTAGCATTGGGAGGATATCAAGGTCAAGGTCTGCAAGCAAGGCAACAGTTACCCAAAATGGGGGCCAGGGACCTGCAGGTCCCCCTTTTATTAAAAATGAGCTTCTGACTTGGGTTGCGTGGGATGTCAGCAGGTCACCTTACCCGTCATGGAGACACCTGCCCAGGCCACACAGGTGCTCTGTCTTGGGTTGGTGAGTGCCCCCCAGGCATCACCTGTCTCTGAATACTCATTATCATACCGGGAAAAGCCTCTTCTTAAGAACTCAGTTATAACAATGAAAAGAACCAATTTAGAGATTGCAGATCTTGCTCACAGGTTATCCAGGAAGGCACTGTATATGATAGGGGAGGAGCATGCTGCCAGAAGTCTTAGGTGGTGGTCGTAGTCCTCTGGCAGCACCTTCCCAGGCATGACTTAACTGGAGGATGCCAACGGGATCCACACTGTGACTCTGTTGTGCTGAGCCAATGTCTGCAATAGCCAAAGGCACATCTGGAGAGGGCTGCTCAAGTGCCACTGCCAGATGAGTAAATTTTCTTTAAGCAACTTTACCTGGCTGACTGGGGAAAGAAAAGTTTGTCTCAGAAAAGTAGGAGAAAATAGACTTTGTTGTTATCCCTGCCTTGGAGCAGATTTAAGAGGGTTCAACTCTGGAAAGAATGCTACTTGGAATCTAAGCTGTTTAATTCTAATTTTCTTCACCAAGTCAAAAGAACTACCTTAGCCCTAGACACTAAATCACTGGAAATACTCATTCACTTGCATTACTTTCTTCGCCCCTACAATAAACAAACATTGTCCTAGAATTCCTATGAGAGAGAGAGAGAGAGA